TGTTATAACTTAATAAAAGAGAGTATGAATTGTAAGTCAAAATGCCAATCAAGGATAAATTGAAAAACAGCTAAAGTTAGGCTCAAGTGAAAGCTCAAACATAACATTGTAAAATTAATACGTTTCAGTGTCTGTTGGGATGGTTGATTAATTCGAATAACCATTCAAAGTTCAGCACGCTAAGCCTTACTGTATTGCAACTTAGCATCAACATCATAAATCAGATTGATTGTGTATTTATAGATGCTGATTTTTCTGGGTCTGAGGACAGACACAGCAGCAGGATGGCCGAATGTGATGAATCTTCAAACTAGAAAAACATTCTTGATGCGCCACTGGTACTACCGTGTAGCCAAGGGACAAGGAATGCGGGCGGAGGTGTCGGACGAGAGAGGCGCGGGGAGAGGAGAACGCAAAAAAAGAGAAGAGCGTGGCTTTTACGACCGATGTGCGAGGTATTTTTGGACAGAATATTTTGGAAAGGAAAATAGAGTACATGATTATTGATCCCGGACGTTTTATTCTTGACACAAGCTAATTACTAATGTGCCTTCTAGTCCATTTCGGTGAACTAGTTCAATAGGTCGCGCTCACTGAGACAAACTAGTTCGCAAACGAACTTTTTTACACAAGAACACGACGTGTTGTTATATTTTTTGTATATACTTTTTTTTTAAGATGCATTTTCTAGGATGTTTAGGTTAGGACAAAAACGTAAGTAAGCGATAGTCCTGTTTTGTATCTACATCATTCAGTACGTTGTGAAGAGCTGCTTTAATATGTTCATTAATGCCTAAAGTAGTAAGACGGGAACGTTTTCAACAGCTTAGCGAGTTTGAAAGGGGACAAATAGTGAGCTTGTGTGAGGCTTATTGGTCCTATTAACTTAGCCAGCAGGGTTCACAGAATTCTAAACAGTACGTAGAGGAAGAGCTACAGGTACAGGGCGTGTCACAAGAACGGCCCTATAGCAAGATCTCCGCCTCAGGCTTTCAGCTCTACGGGACCGCTTTTCGTCGACAGGATCAATAGCAAACCAATGTTTGGAAAAAGCATGGAGAGCTTATCTCAATGCAAATTGTTTGTGGTCAGATAATAGTTCAGTACTTACTTCATACACCGTCCTCAGATTCTGTTTGGGGAAGCATGATGGCCGACGAGATTAGCAATTTTCTGGAAACGCGTGATGGTATCGGGGCTATTGCTTATAGAAGCAGGTTACCTTCAGTATGTGTCAGAGGCAACATGACCGCCGTGCGTTACGGGCATCCACCAATCCACTTTTAGAACAAGGTAATGCACAACCACATATATCCAGAATTACGTTGGTCCATTTGGATTTGGGATATCAGTTACTTACCTAACCCAAAGAGACATATATATATATATATATACAGGGTGGCGCATCGAAAACGAAACAGACGCATTTGCTGGCAGCTCAGACCCGTCGATTTTGTTTTCGAGGGGGACACAAGTTTGGCAAAAGATCACGATGACACGTGCATCCCCCTGGGCGGGGGTGACACCAACCCTAAAATCTTAAATGGAGAGGGGGTCGAGTGATACCTTATTTTAAAGGTCTTTCAATTCCCTTGATAATGATGTAAAACACATGAGCTTCAGTTCAGTAGTTTTGAAGGTTTGTTGATTTAAAGCTTAAAGTAGACCTTAATAGGTACATCAGTTTAGTTTGTACTACTTTCAGAAGAAATTTGACTAAAAGAATTTACTTAATAAGTAAATGCTTTTCTTCATTACCCCCATGGTTTGTTTATCATTTTGTGGTTGAAAATAGCTATTGGAGCGTTTTATTTCTTGAAGAAAGATAAGGAAATATACGTACTTATTTTTCTTTTTCTATTGCCGATGTTATTAATCCTTTGGTAATTCAGGCATTTCTGCTTTTCTCTTTGTGACTAATTTTTACTATATACAGGGTGAATTTGAAGTTGAGTCATTAATTTTCAGATAATGATTGTAGAAGGAAGATAAACCAAAATATGTGTGTAAAAATAAAAAAAAATGAAAAAAAATGTTACATTGTTTTATAAAGTATCCTCCCGAAAAGTATTTCAGTGCGGACCTGTATTTGAGTGCGGTCTTGGAGCACCGGCATGCCCTCCACTGTGAGGTCTTAAGTCACCTGATTCACGAGCCCTTTGTACTACAATAACAAAGGCACGAGGGGTTGGTTGCACTCGATTGGGAAACCGATCCGCATAAATCCGTGATGTCGCGGCAGCATTTTGTAAAGACTCCCCCCCCGTAAATAAGAATCATGTCCACAAGTTCAGCATTTTCGTAAACATGTGCCATTTTTTATTTCGTTTGAGCCACGCAACAAACACCACTATTCACTCACGCATTACCGACTGACACATTGACTGAATACAACTGAATAAAATTGTAGTAAAAACATCGTGATAAGCGTTTCAAATTCTTTAGCCTTTTTGTTTCCGATGCGATGAACCGATAAGGCGGATTATATCCGTTGTTGCCAAGCACGAGCACATAATATTATTATTGAGACAGGGCGGTACTCAAACTTCTAAAGGGCTATAACTTTGTTACTATAATTTTACCAGAAAAATGTTAAAGGAAAAAACATTTCTTTTGATCAGATCTACTCACTGTTAAAATAAATGACTCAACTTCGAATATTATATATATATATATATATATATATATATATATATAATATTTTCATTTATTATCAACAAGCCCAATATCTTTGTCCGATTGTTCTAATATTTGTAACAAGTTCTTATCTACGTTCGTTTTGAAACACCTTTTGGCTGCAACCTCAACGACGAGTAAGTTGTTTGACGATTTAAGTCGGTCCTGTATTGGTTTCTAGCATCACAATTGTGTTTTCAGAATCCTGATGAAGGCTTCATAGAGAATGCCGAAAGCTTGATTTTATCGTCAAAAGAGTCAACTTAAGCCTAAAAATTTGCCAATTTTCCAATTAACAATTAATTGTATTTTTTGCCCAACTGGTCGTTGGCAATGGCAATGACTACTGCTCATATATATATATATATATAGGTACAATGAAAATAACTATTTACAATAGTTGTTCAAAGTGTCCACCTTCACACTGTAAACATATAATATATAATGTGACTGGTGGCTTTCCCAATAACAAGACGATTACTTCTTATGTCGTCAGCGACATCAGTAATTTTACGGAGCAGTTCAGCTCTGGTATGCGATTTCTCTGCATTTAAATCGCGCGAGCGGGGTGGCCAAGAAACTGCGCCCCCTCGTCCAATCCAACGCCCAGGATAGGTGTTATTTAAATACTCAGTCACATTTCTACCACTGTGGGGCGGAGCACCGTCACGCTGTAACCACATCTGCTGTCTTCTCTGCAGCGGAATATCCTCTAACAACACAGGCAGTTCTTCTCGTAAGAATTGAAGATTAACCAACCATCAAACACAAAAGGGCCAAGTAAGTGATCCCCTTACAAACCGCACCAGACGTTAACAGAAAAACGGTGTTGGAAATTCCGTTCGATAGTTGCGTAGGGATGTTCAGGCTGCCAAGAATGGGAATTTCTCAAATTATTGACGCCGTCTCGAGTAAAAGTAGATTCGTCGGTGAACAAAATCTTTTTAACAAAATTACGATTTGCTAGGACCCAGTTACAAAACTGCATACGTGGGTCTGAATCAGTGAGCAGCAGAGCTTGGACAGGTTGCAGATGAAATAGGTACAAACCAGTGATATTCTGCGGACGCTGGTTGATGGTGACCGTTCAACACTATCTTGTATTAAGTCATGGGCAGCTTCCGATGGACGTGTTACAGTAGCATTTAGAAGCGATCCTGTTGCTTTCACATGTGCCAAAACTCTTACAAATACCCTTCTGTCAGGTATTCTTCGATTTGGATACCGGCGGCGGTATTCGTTCACTGATACTCTGCCATTTCCGTTGCAATATCCGTAGACAAACATCATGTCACCGTATTCCTTGTAAAAACAAACATGACAGTAATTTTTGCAAAGTTCAATCAAACTGACACAACCACTCCGTCAACAAACAAACAAACATCAGCGTATTAATCGTGAATGTGGGCTTTAATTATTGTAAGCAGTTATTTTCATACGAACAGTATTAAATTTTTTGTTAGATAAAAGTAATTTTCCAACAATATTGTGGTCTCGCCCACTAAAAATAAAAAAATCATATCTCGATAAGGAAGCATTTGCGGACACATGTATCATACGACTTTTTCGACTCAAATTGACCTGAGGAACACGTAAAATTTTGCCCCTTACCTCGCGGGACACCCTGTTTATACAGGGTGTTCCTTAATGATATGCGAATATTTAAGGGTATGAATCTGCATGAAAAATTAATGTTAGTTTGCTTTATAAACTATGGTTCAGAAATGTTTCCTTACAAAGACTCGGGATGTTGAAGTTTTAGGAAAAAATGGAAGTTAATTAATATTTTCTTACCGCTTCAGATATTTCACTGATATTTAGTTCGTAGTTAAAGTTAATAAAGTTGCATATTTTTCAATGCAAAAATAATTTTTAGCTTTAACAGTGGCGTGCGTACAGGTATTGACTTCGATATTTAAAAAAAATGGTACGCCAATGGTTTTCTGCCAAATAAAAATTATTTTTGAATTCCTCGTTCAATTTAAAACAAATGATCTCTCTTGAATTGTTTTCCTTCGATGCGCTATTTTTGAGTAAACAAATAAAAACCGTTCTAGTTTTATTTTTTGTCTTTTCCTCCTCCGCCACTTTTGCATCACTGGCAGAGTAGTAAATTCAATCGAACTACTTGTCAAGTTATAGGTGGTTATAAGATTAGCGGATAGACCGAAGGAAATGATGACATGGATTTTCGTGAAGTGCAGGTCATGTAACATAAAAAAAAAACATATCTCGTTTTCAAAATTACAGTACATCCCCGCCAGTAGGCTTGGGAAGTAAAAAGTCAATGAAACACCAACATTTTTAATATAAACTTTATTACAGTACAGTGCACTTTTACTAGCAATTATACATCATGCAGGTATAAATAAAAATTAAATTTCAATCACAGTTACATTCATAATCACATAAAATTGCGAACTAAAAAAATAATAATTAAAAAATTCAAACGTTAACAGACGAAGATCGATGAAACTTAATCCACTAAGTAAATCGAACGTAAGTTAAACAAAATCTTATAGGTACACAAATGATATTACATCGCATACGATGTATTTTTCATAGCGCTAATTTCTTCGTAATAGGGATTTGAAATCTTTTTTATATAATTAAAGAGAATTAAAGATGTCGAACAGACTTTTCAAACTTATTTTCGGAAAAAATATAAAAATCCGAAAAAGTTAATATCTAAAACATGTTTGGAAAATTTTGACAACGTAAAACCCTTACTTTTCCAGATGTGTTCTTGTATTATTTTTTTTTTAATTGAAAAAACTGAGCCTATATTGGAATCAGGGATCAAACTTGGTTTCTGAAATCAAGGTAGCAAAAAAATATATTTTACGAATTTACATCTAAACGATTGGGAACTTGTCAAACAATAGTTTACTAGAAACTAGAGGAAATCATATAAAATTTTTATAGAGTAATTATTGAAAAGTTTGTACTTTTCGGATAACAAAATCTAGACTACTTATTTATCATTTCTGGATTTAAAGAGTTTTATATCACAATTAAAGTGTATTTGAGATCAGTTTACTATAGAGTCCTTGGAGGCTGGAGTATTTACTATCAACAAAAGAAACAAAAAATACCAACCATAATATCACAAAACAATAACAACAGACCTATAATTGCAGTAAGGCGTGCTCAAAACAGTCGATCATTTAAAGCAACTTATGCAAAAAGTTGTGAGACTGACACTGGTGGCAGTAAGATTGTCGGTTGAACTGGATTCCAGCTTGGACACTGTTGGGGATCTTGCTGCTGCTGATTGTGCCGAAAGGATCCAGGTTGATTTCGTCAGATTCACAGCTGTCTGGGATCTCGGTGGTGGGCAAGATGATCGCGTCAGGAACCTGTAAGAACAAACATAATTGGCTTTAACGAATGCGCAGTTTCTTCAAGGGTGAATAGGGACATCAATTTTTAAGGAACTCAGCAGTACAGCTTGCTCCTCAGGGGCCCAAAAGAGGGGTCCCACCCAATTCTGGCGAATCCCAAATGAAACACAAGTACAGTTTCTGACATCATAACTTAAATTTTAAGGCGGCTCCGACGCAGTGAGTTTCAAACCATTTACAAGGGTTCAGCTGCTTCAAAACGGACACTACATTTTTCAATATTTGTGAATGAAATTCATACAGCATGTTGAGAAGATAATTGCCCAGGGTGCTATAGGAGCACTTTTTGAAATTTTGTTTTTGCACAAGTTTTATGATGGGTTGAAGTGCGCACTTTTTCTGCTCAACTTCGCGATTTTTTTAAAAAGAACCTAGTGAGCACCTTGTGGGGTTTTGTTTTCAGCACTCTGTGAAAATTTCATCCAAAAATATCAAAAAATAAAGCGTCAATTTCGAAGCGCGCAAACCTCTACAAATCGTATTTTGGACGAATTTTGTCTACTGTTTCGTGCTGCCAAACTAAGCGTTGCGGCGCAGTGTACGGACTAAGAAAAGGACGTATTCAGATAATTTGGTGGCCCTATTTCATATAATATCGCGTAGATAAGTCGTTCTGCAAATAGGTACTCATAATCGCGATCGCTGATACTCCTCGATTTTAAAGCCGTTTTACTTCCCACGTCATTGGCGAGAAAGCATTGTAATCGCGAAAAATTTCTAAAATGAGATGTTATGTTTGACACCAAGAGCCAACAGATCTGCAACTACCGACAGTAGGGAAGAATAAGTTCGGATATCACTCCAGTAAAGTATGGGGGAATTTAGCGTGGAATTTTAAAATTATCGATATGTCAAGGAAATATGTTGTTGAGAACGATCATTTGGTAGAGTTTATACCTGCATTTTCATTTAAATTTCATAACAGGTGAAATGTACCCATTTCGCCGTTACCTTTTGTGTTCTGCGGTTTGCGATGTTTTTCAGGATATAAGCAGGCCATAATTGCCTAGGGTGCTATCAGAGCTTTTTACAAAATTTTGTCTTTGCGCAAGAATTATGGTGGGTTGAAATGCTCACTATTTGTGCTCAACTTCTTGATATTTTAAGAAGAACCTAGTGGCTAAAATCGAAAAAGTGGATCGCTAGCACCCTCTGTAGTCTTTGTTTTTAGCACGCTGCAAGAGTTTCATTTGGAAATAATAAAAAGTAAGCTATGAAGTGCAAATCGGTTTTTGGGTGAAATTCATCTACTGCCAGTCCAAGCGACGCGACGGTGCGTTCCGACTAAGAAAAAATGTATTCAAATAATTTTATATCTTTCCTAAAATAAATTGAAGAATTCAAATTTCAATTCGTTTATTCATATCAGTAAACACAATTATGTTTACAAGTGTCGTGTGATAGATGGTAACAATTGACCGAGGGTCATAAAAATATCTTATGGCCTCAAAATAAGAGGAAACAGTTAGGTAGTTTTTGCAAAGCAATAAACAGGTAGGTTTATACCTGGATTAAGTAGATGTCTTGTCTACTGAAATAGGTAGATGGAGGTGATGCTGCCAGAAATGGAAGTGTGCGATCAATAAACAAACCACAAGATTGAACTGCCGTGTCAAATGATTTTTGTATTGCCTTTTTTATTGCCTTACTAGAAAACTCTGTTGGGTATATGATCGAGTTTACTAGAACTTTACAGCTTGTTGTCTGCCTTCTTCTACAAACTTCACCAAATCGATATGCAAAATCTCGTCGTCACTTTTTCTAAGTTTCCCTAAAAATTCTTGCTTAGCAACCTCCAAATCAATGTCGTTCATATCAGGTTTTTGACAGAATTCGCCATAAAACTATTATATATTTTCTTTGGAATTGCAATCCGAATTGTTAGTTATTTTTATATCAACTTTTTTTGGGCTGAGTTTCTTTCCAAGATTCTTGCGTTTAAGTCTTTGTTCCATCTTAGTGATAAGCGAGGTTGGACTAAGAAGAATGTATTTGGACCACATAGACAAGCCGCTCGGTATTGTGGCTCACTACAGCTGCAGCACATCTTCCATGATATGACCTCTTCTTGCAATAATTTATTCGCTTACCCCAATGTATTTTGCGATTACAGAGTTGAACTGCTCCACACTATTGTTGTCCTTATCATGAATTAAACTCACTGAATTCGTAATTAAAATTGTCGCATATGACCTTTTATTGTCTATTATCAACCTTGATAAAAAAAATCACTCAAGAACAATCACACCAACAAGAGTACAACTCAACAGTTTAACAACACAACATCGACTAACAGTAACAAGGGTAGAACAATACTAAATGATCACTAGCTGAGTACCAAAATAGGAAATGATTTACAGGCTAGATCGGTTATCGAAATCCGTCTCTATTATTATAAAAATTTACCTCGGTAGGCACCCGCAGTCATCCTTTCCTCTTTTAAAGTAGCACCGACCACCGTCTAAGACCAGCCCACAATCGTTTTCTTTTCACCCCTCCGTTACCTCAGCAGATGGTGCTCGTGATTGTAGGAGCCTCGTTAAGGTCAATTGTAAGATTTTAGTGTTAAAATTGAAGACCCAAACACATGCAGTTCGAAATTTAAAAACAGTTCTTTCGGAGATTCAGTAAGCTGCTATTTACTATATACAAATATAGTCAAGATTCAGATACGCTGTGAGTTCCTAAGTCCCTTTTAACTGATTATTTCATGGTCTGTATAGAGATGACTAAAAAACAATTTTATCAATTTTTTTGTCATAAAATGATTTTTTTTTTATTGTATTGTACATTTTTCCTTCAATCGTAACACAGCTCTGAAATTGTGTGTCAAAATTCCACTTTTATAGTAGAACTGAGCAAGTGACTACCTTTATTTTCATCACTTATTCTGTTCGAGTTTTCAAGGAAAGCAAAGACTTTCAGAAGAGGGAAAGTGATAAGAAAAAGTAATCACCAACTCAATGCTTCCATAAAAGTGGAATATTCACATACAGTCTTAGAGCTGTACTATTATATGTCAGGATTGAAGGAAAAATGCCTAAAAACTGTATTTTTTCCAAAAAAATAAATTGATAACATTGTTTTTCGGTCATCTCTAGACACAACGTGAAACAATCAGACAAAAAGGGGCATCTTAGTTGATTGAATATGTATTTAATTTTAGCTTCCTTCTGTTCTATAAGTGGTTATGTTTTGTAAAAATATTGTATTTAATTTGCTTTATCGCCTGTCCAGAAAGCCATATTCAATTATTATTATATTCCCCAGTCCCAGTCCCAAGTGAAAACCGTAAGTGCAACTATCCGGTCGACCATCGCCTTTGGTTGTCGGGGGTACCGCGTATTATGGGTTTTCTTTTTCTGTTGTTGAAAAATGCTAAATTTTAGGAATAATTATTAAGACGGTTAGGTCATGCTCTATCCTTGAAAGGTTGATGTCAATTCGGCGTGGCGCGGCAATACCGTCGTCATATCGCTTAGTTTCCATGTTTGGACCTTCACACTTCTCCCCTTTTGCTTACTTACAGACGCAGAAGCAATGGAACTTATACCCTCTTCGTAGTCCGTTTACGCCCCGGCGTAACGAATATGCAGCGCGGTAAAGCGGCAGCCGCTTAAGCGTTGCAATAGCGATTGGTCATTCGGACAAAAAACTGCGGGATTCTACAGGATACCGCAGATGAAAATATTTCTCCCAATGCTTCCTTCAGCCATACGTCCTCTCAAGTGATGTCTCCTTCCCGAAAACGTGACAAGAAGGGGCATTTGAATATTCAAGCATAAAACATTACGCCATTGAAATGATTTGGGAAAATATAAAAAACTATGTGGCTTCAAACAATAGAACATTCAAATTTTCTTACGTGAAAAATTTGTTTTATGAAGCTGTCAACAGAGTGACGGCAAACCATTGGAAATATTGTATGCGTCACGTTCAAGAGGCAATCGAAACAGAGATATGGGATCTGGACAATACGAGCCCCTTCCCACTTCAGTTGGCCCAACTATAGAAATCTTAGTTTTTTTCTTATCAAACACAAATAATAAAAATGTAGCAGGGTGTTATAGGTTTAAAATATTAACAATGAATATTTTGATAATATATAGTAAACACCACCTTTATCACTCCCTAATCAAAATTGCAGCATAAAAATAAGACGTTGCAATTACAGCATATCAACCTATTTTCATTTCAATTCAAAATAAGTCTATAACGCATAGGTGGCTGTGAAAAATAAAATCCATGACAATTGTTTTTATTTATCACAGCTGTCAGAATACGTTTAAAATAGTTTTGGGTACTTAAGGTTTTCAAACTCAGAAATTGCAACTTTTTTAGACTTATCGCGGTACAGTGTGAGAAATATTGTTAGAAGATATAGCGTACCTGGTTCAGTTAATATTAAGCCACGATATGTGAAAAAAAGTAATATCACAAATGCCGACCGAAGAGCATTAAGAAGAATAATCGTGAAAAACAGGCATGCCAATTATTTACAATTAAGTGCTCTGTGGAGTGACGCTGTTGGAAGGAGAATTTCGAGGTCCACAACTCATAGAGAGGCCCACAAACGGGGATTTAGCACTTGCAAGGTAAGTTTTCTTATAAAAAAAGTGAAGTAAAAACCCTAACGTTGCATAACTTGTTTATAGGCCAAAGAAAAGCCACTATTAACTCCACTGCAAAAGAAAAATCGGCTTAGATGGGCTAAAGAACATAGACAATGGACACCTCAACAATGGTGTGCAATACAATGGAGTGATGAGGTCCGATTCGAAGTTTGTGTTGGTGACAGTCGCAGTAGAGTTATTCGCAAAAAAATGAAGCATTCCATGTTGACTGTCTGAAGAGAAAAGTGAAATTTCCAGCATCCATTATGGTCTGGGGCAGTATATCATCAAAAGAAGTAGGAAAACTTCATTTTATTGATGTAAATGTGGATACAAACAAATATTTGGCAATTTTAGAAGAATCGCTTTTACCAGTGATGGTAATGTTTGACATCCGGCCAAGATTTTGTGTTTCAGCAAGATGGTGCAGCGTGCCATACCTCAAGGCTATAAAATGGATGGAAGAAAATAATGTACCACTTTTGAAATGGGTTTCTAACAGTCCAGATCTGTCACCTATTGAAACGTTGTGGCACGAGATGAAAAAGGTTCTACGACCACGTCCTGCTCGTACAATCATCGAACTGAGACAAAAGCTTCAAGAAATATGGGATTGTTTTACACCAAATTTTTGCCAAAACCTGGTTAACACTATGCCCCTAAGAATTTCAGCCGTAATAAAAAATAAAGGTAATGTTACCCAATGGTAATCTCTCAATTGTTGCTTTGTTAACTTCGCGCATTTATTCGCACATTGTTTATTTGTTCAGATGTTCTGTTAGTTATAGGTCTATGTTATTTCAAATATGTATTTTTTACGAGTAGAGTGTATCTAAAATGTTTTTGAGAAAATAAATTGTTTTAGAAGTAAATAGTTTCGTCATGTTTAGTTTATAAAGGCATATTTTGGTACAAATCTTGAAGTGGACCAACTGAAGTGGGAAGGGGCTCGTATGATCGATATTCAAATTGAACCTGTAATAATGTAATGTAAAAAATTGTGAAAAGCATGTGCACTTCTTTCTATAAAAATAATCATTTATTTTTTTAGATTATTTCAAGACCATTGACGAAAATACGGACCTGTACAATCTCGCTTTTGCGCATGTTGTGTTTTGTCTGGGCGTAAATGGGCTATAGAGACGCGCCCCCTGACTGACTAGGAAATGTACGGTTGTAAAGGTCGCACTGGCAAGCAGCGAGCCTCAATAAAGTCTCTAATTAATTGGATACCGCTCTTTGAAGGAATATATAGAGACGCTTGTTGTACATACCTTAGGCAGCGTTTTAAACTCGACGTTTCCAGGTAGGTACTTTCTGTTTCCTACAGCTAATCCTTCGGCTCCCTCTACTGCGTTGACAATATTATCGACAACCTCAGCTGCACCGGAAGCGATATTACCACCGGAAATGGCACCGGAAAATGCGTTGGAAACGGCACCGGAAAATGCGTCGGAAACGGCACCGGAAAATGCGTCGGAAACGGCACCGGAAAATGCGTTGGAAACGGCACCGGCCACTGCGTCGGAAACGGCACCGGAAACTGCGTTGGATGCGGTACTGGCGACGCCACCTGTCAGTGCGTTCACGGCTTGGTTCACTGCTTCGCCTACTACGTCTTGGAAGCTGCCTGTCCTCACTGGAAAACAAATATTTTTCAGTACTTTTATCGCTATTGTTATACAGGAAAAAATTGTAACCTCTTCACAGAGATGCTTCATTTCTAAAACATAAAAAAATGACGTCAAGTAGATTGACTCTATACCTTCTACGCCTTCGTTGGAGGTTTCAAAGGAAAGGGTGAGTCAAATCGTTTCAAAAGGCGAAATCGAATCGTGATAGATAGTTTCACTTAGGTACGATGAATCTTCGTCCGCTGCAAATAATAATAATAATAATAATAATTTTTATTGGAATGTATATACATAAAAATATAAAAATGACAACATTCCAAAAGGAAAGAGGATTGGCAGGGCCTTTTTTCACCTCCCCCTAAAAAGTTAACTTCATTAGCGTTTTTAAACATTGAATATCAAACTATTTAAAGCAAATCTATCACATTTCTGTTTCCATGACAGATCTAGGGAAATATGTATCACTTATTGTGTCTAACAGGTGCATAGTATCACTGAGATCAACAGATTCTTAATAATAGAAGGTCTTTCACTGACACGAAATATGCAACCATTGACAACCATTTACCGTTCAATTTTCAACCCCTCCGAACAATGTCTCAAAATGAGCAGCAATCTCTGAAACGTTTTCAAAATCTAGGACTACCTAAATGAAAGTATTGAACTCGCGATAGTATTCGAACTTAAGTTTTCTGTTGCAGAAAGATATCTGCATCACACAAGTCCGTATTTCTCATTTATGTCGGTTTGTCCGTGTCTGTTGCTAAAATATAATGTTTCTCCTCTAGCGGTATGTTAGTGACGACACGACTGCAGATCAGTTGGAGTTTGTTACCCATTGCACAGTCGGCAGTAGCGTCCACCACAATTGCCAGCTTATTTCGAATCATGAGCACAGTATACATCGGACTTTTATCATTCAATTTTCCCGTTATTTCCGGGATCAGCTTCTTTGACTTATACACAACCCCCTACCCCCTACAACACCTACAAAGTGATTCTAAAAATAATCATGAACCTCTGAAACATAAAAAAACGAATTTAAAGCAAGTTTTATTTATTTTTTTCATGTTTTTGCCTCTAGCTCCGCCACCACTAAAAGAATTTTCAAATAACTACAAAGCCTTTCCATCCATGGCATAGAGGCAACCTTGTGTGAAAATTTTATCAACATCCGAGTGCTACTTCTCAAGTTATACTCAGATATAAAATTTGCCGTTAAAGTTGGTGTTTTTTTGAACAAAATGTGTATCTCTAGCATCCAGAAGTAGCATGAGATGTCAAAGTTTCTCTTTTGAAGAGGCCTTTCAGAATATACTAAAATAATAGGTTCTACTTAAAAAAGTGTATGCAAGTCAATAGCGTATAACTGCCTACAATTTTTCAACTAATTTAATTATGTATCTTTAAAAATAATAGAACTACCCACCAATTACAGTGAAAACGTACCTTTTATATATATATACAGGGTGGCGCATCGAAAACGAAACAGACGCATTTACTGGCAGCTCAGTTTTTTTTTTGAAAAACGCTCAGACCCGTCGATTTTGTTTTCGAGGGGGACACAAGTTTGGTAAAAAATCACGTTAGCACGTGCAGCCCCCTAAGCGGGGGTGACACCACCCCCAAAATTTTAAACGGAAGGGGGGTCGAGCGATACCTTAGTTTACAGGTCTTTCAATTCCCTTTATAATGATATAAAATTAATGTACTTCAGTTCAGTAGTTTTGAAGGTTTATTGATTTAAAGCTTAAATAAAACTAATACATCATCATTAGTGGAGATCAATACATTTGGCAGCAAAGTAATTTAAAAATGAACAATGAACTGACCCGTTAGGCAAGTAAATCTTGAAAATGGCCACTATGACTCTCCATGCAATAATAAAGATTTTGCTCAATTCTTTGTCGCAGGTCTTCTAATGATGTTGGCTGCGTAGCATAGATTTTGCTTTTTAAATGACCCCACATAAAGAAATCCAAACGTGATAAATAATCTGGCGATCTTGGGGGCCATTCAATGGCACCTCTTCTACCAATCCATCGATCTGGAAACGTCTGATCTAAATATTGTCGAACACGTAATGCGTAATGCGGTTGGGCACCATCCTGTTGGAACATCAACCTATTCGCAATGTACCGCCGATCATTTTAATTTTCAATTATGGCTGTTAACGCAGAATCTATGGCGTCTTCCAGTAATTCCAAATATATTTCATCGGTCAAATTTCCAGGTAAGAAAAAGGACCAACTAAATGATCGCCAAAAATACCAGCCCAAACATTTAATTTTTGTGGCTGCTGTGTATGAACCTCATGATAAATTCTGGGATTAGAATCGGACCAATATCGGTAGTTATGACGATTTACTACGCCATTTAAGAAAAAGGAACATTCGTCGGAAAAGCAAGTGTTGAATAGAAAATGTTCATCGTTTATAATTCGTTCACTCATATCTTCACAAAATTGTAATCGCCGATAAAAATCGTCTTCATTAAGTTCTTGTGCCAGGTGAATTTTATACGGATGAAAACTATGGGCCTTTAGAATCCGTTGGACATTACGTCGACTAACACCACACACAATCTCCAATTTGCGGGTACTTAACGTAGGATCTACACAAACTTGCCCTAAAACCCCCACTTCTATTGCTTTGTTCCTTATGGGATTTTCAATGTTGCGTTTTTTATTGGCGACTGACCCAGTTTCCCGAAATTCAGCTACAAGTTCTAGAACATATTTTCGATGCATGTTACTATTCTCATGTCGCTCATTAAATATTTCTGCTGTTCTATTAGCGCACTGATTATTTCCGAAAAATATTTCGATAATTTCAACTCTTTCTGCTGTGGAATGTACCATGGTTAATTTATGCAATAAAGCGTTACAAGTTATTTTAGCAACAAAGTTTGGTCAAATCAATCGCAAACTGTGTACTAGATTCCTATTTAAAATAAGTACGAGATATTTCCTTAACTTTTTTGCCACAAAAAACGCTCCAATAGCTAACTGAAGCTCATGTATTTTATATCATTATAAAAGGGGCTGCACGTGTTAACGTGATTTTTTGCCAAACTTGTGCCCCACTCGAAAACAAAATGGACGGGTCTGAGCGTTTTTCCAAAAAAAATGAGCTTCCAGTAAATGTGTCTGTTTCGTTTTCGATGCGCCACTCTGTATATATATATATATATGTACCTTCACCTGAATTTTAAATGAAATTGCTCATTACTTTAAAATAAGGTGAATGTGCTATAGTATATATAATATATACTATAAATGGTTTTGGAGCAAAATGTGATTTTTTTTGTTGTATTTGGATATATGATCAGTAACATTTGTATGGTTTATGTGGTATGAAAAAAAACATTTGAATAATTTTTGGAGAAAACGTTTGATATTTATAAGTTAGGTGAAGGTGCACGTATACCATAGATGCAAAACACAAAACAAATAGAGGAAGTAGAGAGTTGTTCGTCCGAAAAATAACGCTTGCGTTACGTTATTTCTGGCAGCGACAGCTAATTACATATATCCTCGAAAAAAGAGTTTTTATGACCACTAAAGTGAAGCATAGTAATTTGACGGGAAGTTAAACCAAAAATTTGTTACCTTTTTTCGATAATATTTGTGAAAAAACGAATAGTTTCAGAACCATAGAACGACAGACACAACATTGACCCAATATACAAAACTCCCAACAAGTTATGTTTCGCCATCTTAAAATTTAAGCGCTGTGAACAAAGGCAATACTGCTTAATGTTTACTATGCGATGGGGGCATTCATAATTCAAAAAAGAATTATGAGATTGATTTTGAACCTACCTAGGCATGAATCATGTAGGTCTACATTCAGCTAACACTTCTAGCAAAATAAAATAAAGAAAAATTTCCTGAGTATGCCTATACGAGCCCCTTCCCACTTCAGTTGGCCCAACTATTGAAATCTTAGTTTTTTTCTTATCAAACACAAATAATAAAAATGTAGCAGGGTATATAGTGGAAAACACCAACTTTATCACTCCCTAATCAAATTTGCAGTATAAAAATAACACGTTGCAATTACAGCATATCAACCTATTTTCATTTCAATGCAAAATAGGTCTATAACGCATAGGTGGCTGTGAAAAATAAAAGCCATGACAATTGTTTTTAATAATCACAGCTGTCAGAATACGTTTAAAATAGTTTTGGGTAGTTAAGGTTTTCAAAATGGGTAGAGGAAAGGTTATTAGTGAGAAAATTCGGTTACTGATAATTAGATTTTTTAATTCTGGGAAATCAAACTCAGAAATTGCACCTTTGTTAGATTTATCGCGGCGCAGTGTGAGAAATATTGTTAGAAGATATAACGTAACTGGTTCAGTTAATATTAAGCCATGATATGTGAAAAAAAGTAATATCACAAATTCCGACCGAATAGCATTAAGAAGAATAATCGTGAAAAACAGGGGTGCCAATTATTTACAATTAAGTGCTCTGTGGAGTGACGCTGCTAGAAGGAGGATTTCGAGGTCCACAAATCATAGAGAGGCCCACAAACTGGGATTTAACACTTGCAAGGTAAGTTTTCTTATAAAAAAAAGTGAAGTAAAAACCCTAACGTTGTACAACTTGTTTATAGGCCAAAGAAAAGCCACTATTAACTCCACTGCAAAAGAAAAATCGGCTTAGATGGGCTAAAGAACATAGACAATGGACACCTCAACAATGGTGTGCAATACAATGGAATGATGAGGCCCGATTCGAAGTTTGTGTTGGTGACAGTCGCAGTAGAGTTATTCGCAGAAAAAATGAAGCATTCCATGTTGACTGTCAGAAGAGAAAAGTGAAATTTCCAGCATCCATTATGATCTAGGGCAGTATGTCATCATTTGTATTGATGTAAATGTGGATACAAACAAATATTTGGCAATTTTAGAAGAATCGCTTTTACCAGTGATGGAAGAATGTTTGTGGCCAAGATTTCTTGTTTCAGCAAGATGGTGCAGCGTGCTATATCTCAAAAAAGGCTATAAAATGGATGAAAGAAAATAATGTACCACTTTTGAAATGGATTTCTAGCACCTATTGAAGCTTTGTGGCACGAGATGAAAAAGGTTCTACGACAACATCCTGCTCGTACAATTACCGAACTGAGACAAAAGCTTCTAGAAATGTGGGATTGTTTTACACTAAATTTTTGCCAAAACTTGTTTAACACTATGCCCCAAAGAATTTCAGCTGTAATAAAAAATGAAGGTGATATTACCCAATGGTAATCTTTCAATTGTTGCTTTGTTAACTTCGCGCATTTATTCGCACATTGTTTATTTGTTCAGACGTTCTATTAGTTATAGGTCTAAGTGATTTCAAATATATATTTTTTACGGCTAGAGTGTATCTAAAATGTTTTTGAGAAAATACATTTTTTTAGAAGTAAATAGTTTCGTCATGTTTAGTTTATAAAGGCATATTTTGGTACAAATCTTGAAGTGGACCAACTGAAGTGGGAAGAGAGTCGTATAGTCGAAATCACGAAAGATGACGATTACGTCATCATTTGAGTCTGCAGTAAAGACAAACGACTGCGATTTGTGAATACTTTTAATGAAGTTTCAGATATGTTAGACAGAGACAAACAGAATTTTATCGTCTAAACAAACTAATTTGCAAGTATCCGAGAAAGACGGACGATGTTTTTATGTTGCATGATCGATCATATTTGAAAGATGAATAGTTAGGTTATGTTAAAGCGGGTTAGGTTGTTTTCGAATAATACTTTGGTCTTCCTGTCTTAAGGTATTCTACTCATAACTGTTTTGTTTCTCAAAACAAAAACTCCCCACTAAAATTATTATTAAGGTATCACTCAAAACCATGAAATAAATTGCAAATAAAAATAAAATAATCAGTGAAATAACCTAACTTCACAAAATCATAATATAAATTTGCTGTCATTATGTTTCTGAAATCGTGATTTTATCATCGACGTACGTCCATTGATTACTTCAGTACAATTTATGATATGACGTAATAGTCATCTTTCGTGGTTTTGACTATATGAAAGTCTATAATACACTTCCATCTGAACTTAAAAAACTTCAGAGTATCGTATTATTTAAAAAACGTCTGAGAAAGTATCTTGTGGATCTATGATCATACTTAATAGCAGACTTTTTATGTATGTATATATACATGTATGTTTTATACTATATTTATATAGTTTTTTGTGTATTTCTTGTGTCTGTTCTTCTTACGATCAAAAGACAATAAAACTATTACTACCACTACTACAACAGGACAAAACCAAAACTACAATGAAACGCTACCTTGCCATTGCATGTATAAGAAAAATCAGGACCATTCAATTTATTTAGAATACTGCCTATTTCTTGCAGCCAGGTTTGTCATAACGAGGAAACAAACTAAGTGCTCTAAAAAATGTCTAATACCTCATCTAAATTAAGCCAAGTGTACCGTAGACCATACCTAGTATCGAGAAAAAGAAACTTACATGAAGCTGGACGGTATCCAATTTCCTCCAAAAGGATGTTGTTGTACGGACCTCTCCTTTGGCTTTCTTGAGCTTCAGCTAAAGCCTGTTCCTCGGCTTCGAGTTCCAACAGATCTTCGATAGCTTCTTCTTCCAATGTGCTGTGTTTGCATTGTTTGCCTGGTTTAGGCGGGACGAATTCGATGATTTGACCGTTCAGCCTGTGGATGTTAACCTCGGGGATCAGTTGCTTTACCTGAAAAGAAGAAGTGGACTATTGATGAAATCTATACAATCCATAGAGAATCTGTGTTTTGTAAAAAGCTTGTTCCCTGTTATACGGTTCTATCAGTTGCACCAATTCGTTACCTGTTCTCTCTTGGGCAGTTCTTTGGGTACCCTTCTGAATCCGAAAGAAAGTCTGTCTTCAATAGCTCTTTCGCAGTTTTCGATTTCCTGTTGCTTTTTGAGCGCTATAGATATAGAGACAGGATCTGCAGGAGTACCAATTTTGTTGTCTTCATTTATGCCTACACCTTGGATTGCAGAGGCCAGGTTCTGTAAACAAATACTTATTAGTTTGTTAGATACTTTTGTGAAGAGAAACGATGCCAACTCGGTTCTTTAGCCGTAAGAAGATCTTTAGGACATTAAACCAGGACATTATTGAAAATTATTTAAGAAAAACCATTATCAAGTTAAATGGATACCGTTCTTACAAAAACTGTTCAAAATTGTTCAAAAAATCTTGCTCTGCGAATCTACGACTCTTAATAAGCTTCGAACATAAAATCCTGGTGTCCACGAATTAAATCACAAGCATTTTCAGTGCGTTATTAAAGTTCTTCGAGAGTATATACTGCTCCATCATAATAAATCAACTCTTTCAAATAGCCCCACAGAATAAAATCGCAAGGCGTTAAATCCGGGAGCGAGCAGACCAAGAATAGGTCCATTGTGCCCTATCCATCTGTTGGAAAACTCATTATTTAGATGTTAATGAACTTCTCGTTTGAAATGTGGTGGAGCTCTATCATATAGGAACTACGTATTATGTATCACACTTAGAGGAACATCTTCTAATAATTGTGGCAGATTGTGTCGAAAAAATCTAAATAAATTTCACCGGTCAGTCGAGATGGTAAAATGTAGGGTCCAATAAGCATGCCATTAATCACGCCAGCCCAAACATTAAATGAAAATCTATGTTGAAAATGAGTTCTTTTTACAGCATGCGGATTTTCTACTGTCCAAACATGATTGTTGTGGAAATTGTGCACTCCATTTCGTGTCAATGTGGCCTCATCAGGATAATACTGTTCTTGTCGTATTGTCTTCCACACTTTACTATGAGAAACTTCAACTAGAGCTGCTATGGCTCTAGTACTCATTGTTGGGACGTCTTCGACGATTTCTAAAATGTCTTCCTCAATCTGTAACATTTCAGATTGAATAGGTCTTCCAGCGTGACCTCTTTGACGTTCTTTTAAATATCATCTGTCACGAAGTCTAATTACTAAATTTACAAACATCCGTGAGGACGATTTATTTCGTCATTTTTTCATATTTTTTCGCACAAAATCATCAGACAAACGAAAGTACACGCCCTATTAAAATATTGATACAATTGATCGAAGCAAAGACTCGTACTAAAAACCATACAATAACACAAAAGTTTGGCAAATGATAAGAGTAGTAAACAAAAAACGCTAAGATTTTAACGCGGCAGTGGTCGAAAAATATTAAAAAATCTGTGTAATAACATTCTTATTTTTTAAATCATTAATCTTTTAATATTTCTTTTATTATGCAACTTTTATATAGGTGTTCTTTGGTATATCAACTCCTGTTGACGGGTCCTACAAGCAGTTTAAATAAATGACTCAACTTTTAAAACACCCTGTATACGTCAATATTAGGAAACAGAAATATTGATGCATACGCATGTTACGTGATGCTATGTGACACATTCTTTATACAATCGCTAACCTTCACCGTTATTTAGTGATAACAAATAAAAATTTTATTTATTTGTATACTACTGTCAATGAATTAAAAAAGAACATTTCTTCTACTGTTGTACTGATTTGATCTGGAGAGTGCTTTTTGACAAGGGTCCAATCACACACAACACGGATAAAAAAGTTACTGTATGTTAAAGTTAAAACTTCGGATTCGAAAGAAATTATATCTTCAGAAAAATATTTTCTACGCCGACTTTCTGGAAACACTATTGCGTATTAACTCTCTGTCGTTGCTGATTCAATCAATAAAAGGGAGCCACTAATCAGCTGGTTTTTCAGCGTACTTTTCGCTCTGTTTGACGTTAAAATAAAAGTTAGGTTAGCTAGCACCTCCTGGCGTCTATCAACCAGGCTAATCTGCAAACAAGTTTGGTCTTCAAATATGTGAAGAGGAACACAATTTTGGGTTAAGTCTTATGCTTCAGCGTTACGATAACGGTACGCCGGTGGTAAGGCAACGTCAGGGCTCTTAAGTCTACCTTAAATATATGATCCCATTGTTGTACATGCTCGCAGCTAACTCTGCGAGTGGCTAACTCGTCTCGAACATAAACATATATGAACTGGTAAGCGAGGTATAGGTGAAGACGTTATTATTTTCATACTCACCACGAATCCCTCAATTCCTGAAAACTTTCCCTCGGTGAATAGGCTCGATCCAGCTTTCTCCTTGTGCGTACATACAGGCCTGGGAACGATCGCAGGCCTTACAATGGCCTTCTTGATGGTGCATGGCCCAGGGACGATTCCCAGATTCAACGGAAGAGCCACAAGTGGCTTGGGCACTTCCTGGGGCCGTACCACGATTGGAATGCCAGATGCAGTGCCATCAGCAGTGACCCCGAAGCTGCCTGATGAGGCTGTGTCCAGGTTGTGGCACATGTCGCTGCTCTCACATAGGCCACAGTCTTTCACGAAGCCTTTGCTAGCACAGGGGCAATATCCATACACCTAGAAAAACAATGCATTGGTCATTTCAAAAACCACTTGTGCATTTTCAATTTGGTGTGTTTTGTAGTATGGTACACACTGTATAAATATTGTTATTAGAAACTGATAGCAAATGTTAGGTATTGCAAGTAAAATAAATCACCGGAAAATTCTCTATAAGCATAGGAATGACTACCTTGCAATACCAAGCAATAAAGGTTAAACACAATAAAGTTCAACAAACGAAGGTATTTCGCTACTGGCACAACAGTACACATTAATTATATGACGACCATACCAAAGGCGCCTGCAAGAGCTATTACTATAATAGGGAAAGGCAGAATATGACAGAAAAATAAGAAAAGCCAAATATTAGCTGTTGGCTGTGGTAAGCAAAGGAATTACTAAGTTGCAACAAAGATTAAATAGAATAAAGTTATTATATTAACAAATCGAATATATTAACGAATCAGGTGTTTCACTAAGCGCGTAAAAGCCCTAGATTAAAGTTTATTACATTTTTCTGAAAGCGCTTCATAAAAATGAGATGCGCATCCTGAATATGTACTAAATATACCTCGCAAGACATTACATTGTTTCACCTTCAAATAGTACCGCATACTGAACGTTCACTGCATAAACCGGGACTAAGGTAAATTTTACATGCACTACTCGACGGCAGGTACTTGAATGGGTCATTTCAAAGACTGTACCAGGATTCTTGATTTGTTTTGTTTTCATATGTACCAAAGTGAAAATTTTAAATTCACTAATCACAAAAATGTGTTAATACGTTTTTTCCGAAGTCAATTATTTAAAAGTCTTCTTGCTTCCTAGAAAACCATTGGTTCAGTTCTAATCATTTGTATGACTAAGACAATCCTTTAGTTATACGCTAAATATTTCAGAAAGTTGCTTGTACAGACAACATTAAATAGAATTACACACACAGCAGCTATAATGCAAAATTCATTTTTTTATTAGAGAAATACAATTTGTCGTCAAATAAGAACGTGGTCTTAAATTTTTGCAACTTACGACATTTATTAAATCGAAAGGTAATTTAGGAAATCGAAAGTATTCCAGTCATTTCAAATTTCAACAGCGCCTAGGAATTTCCTTTTCTCACGGATGCATTTCGTATTTCTTGCTCTACTATTTATTTTTGACAGACCTCGATATTGCAAAGGGTTCTTGTCAGATACCAAATTCGAAATACACTTTATTACTTTCGCACACAGGATATTACCCGACAAGGTCATTTGAAGTTGAAAAAAACGCTTGCCCAGCCCATCACGATTAACTGTTTAGGGTCAAGTGATTCCCTCATGAAGTGTTGCCAACCCGAAGAAGAGGAAATCGGTAGATAGTGCCATTGAATTTCGGTAGGTTCAAGGACAAAATCGGTAGAAGAAAAAAATCATGGCCGCCGTAAGATCAGCGGTGGTTCAAGCGCCTTAGTGTCACTCAGCGCCATTTATGGAAAAAAAATATATTTTTGTATTGCGCGTGCACAGACAAAAAGTTTTTAGAGGCCATCTTTTCTTAAAAAAAATATTTACCTCTTTATTTCAAATTATACAATGAGCATACAGGTCCCTGTTGCAACCACAGTGGAAGCTCATTTTTCCATTCGTGATTAAAAGATTGTGAATATTTTTTTGTTTTATCTCTGAACTTGAAGGTTCATCACCTGGCATTTGTTTTTAATATATAATTAAAGACAGACCATCTGTGGTTTCCTCACCAGTCTTACCAATCTGTACCTGTTGTACGCACAAAAACCTTACCCGTCTATGTTCCTCGTCCCGACCGTCTAAATGTTGGCATATGATGTATGATTGGTATGCGGCATAAAACTAAATATATTATATTTATTTTGCTTTATTTTTGGTTTCAGTTTTTTTCCGTAAAGAACTTGGAAACATCTAAATTGTTATAAATCATCGGTAAATACGATCCCGTTCGGTAGTAATACCGAAAAACCGGTAGATTCGGCAACTGCCCTCATTTACAACCCCCCCCCCCCCACGTTATCTACGCCAATATTCCTCATAAAGAATAACAACAGTTGAATATCGGCAGCTTTTGAGATGTAAGTTCAGATTTCTATACTAAATTAATGAGATCACTTTTACTCCTTTGTGCAGTTAAGCTGGATTATAAATTGATGACTGGAAAGCAAAGAAAAGTTCTTTAATTTCATTAAGCGAATATGCGCTTATTCTGCTACAGTTGAGCCAATTCCATTTAACAAATTGGAACTGGGATCCAATCGAAAACTTCCAGCAATTGGCGACCTTAGAAAAGTAGAAAAGCTTTCAGTTAGAACTAGTTATAATTTTTATCGGCCTTGGAATTATGGGTTTCTTAGAGCTGTGATAATTTGTTTAGCCTGAAAATAAGTTTCAATCTCGTGCCTAGTTTTGTGTTTTTAAATCTTTAGTCGTTTAAGAACATAACCAAAAGTTAATTTCAAAGAACTCGAATACTATACTATAGGTATAGGATTTAGTTTGAGGGTGATTAGTTTCGGAGAAAATATGGAATGCAATATCCAAGATAAATGCAACAGTTAGTATAGTTACAGATATTTTTTGTTCTACATGTTAATGCAACAATATATAAATGTGAATGTCTGTCCAGTATGTTATGCCTTAATCATGATTTTCTCCGCGAACATATCATTGAATCCTGGCAACCATGCATTTTTTTGGGGGGGATTCTAAGAAAAGTTTTAGGATTATTAGGATAACAAAAGTAGTTTATCTAAGACATCAAAACGATCTCGAAGTTAATTGACACTCTATCACGATGATCAAGGTAGTCTTTCTATCACTTTCTTTCATATCACCCACACAGATAAAATGTTTAGAAATAGGTTACCACCTTAAACAGTGGAAGCTGGTCTTAATTATAACTGTCCCTAAAAATCTTAAATCTTACTGAACTTGCACATCATAAGCCTACTAGCTTTCAATAATTCTAGAAAAAATCGTACAGAAACAAGCAAATCTAAATCAAAAGGATCACGGTAAGAAAACGAATGTCCAAATGCAGTAAACACACGATGCAAATGCCCTATTATTTATATCCCTTACTCATTTCGGTCAGACCAGTGACCGAGCAGTTCCGCGTCAGACAACAAACAAATCATGTTAAATTTCATTAAGTAGTTTGGGCTGTAGACCGTGAAGTAGACATTGCAAAGTTCCAGGATAAAAAGTAACCTATGTGCTATTTATTCTAGACTATAACCGATCCGTTCAGCCATGATTGACTAACAAGCATTTGTCTTTTTGACTTTTTGATTGAAATAGTCTGAAAATCTATTCTAGAATTTGAACTGTTTTTCGTTGTGAATCGAAAAATTAACAGTGAACTTACATTGTGTACAAGAAGCACTATTCCTAGGAAAGCTGAGAGGAACTTCATGTTTGATCACCGAGAATCTATAACGCGCGGTATAGACTCAAGTGACAGGCGAATTAGGTATCAGGGATCAATTCCAACAATTTATATCGATTTTATGTTTTTGTTTCAACTATTCCGAGTGAGGTCATATTTTCATACTCGAGCACTTGGCGTATTTCCCTAGCTGTTATTGTTTAACAAATAAAGCATCTTCCGGTTTTCATGTGGAATATAATGGGTTATTGAACTTGTTACGTTCTTTTTAGAAATTGCGTAATGTAAGGTAAACATATAGTATTTTGATGCAACGATCGTGGAGTGATATTTATTATGAATGAAAGTTTCATAAGGAACAATTGGAATAACCGTCTTCCTTTAATTGAATTTTTAGTAGACGGAGAAAAACTACGAAAATTAATAGCAGTAGGCGATGACAACAGCCAACTTTGTGAGGCCGTGATCCCTTATAATTTTTGCATCAATTTGAAATCGTATTAAACACCAAAAACTAGCTCTCGCGGATAATTTGGTCAACTTGTATGTTTTACGGCGATGAAGTCAAAATTAAAATTGTACAACCAGGTACATTTTTTTCTGGAGAGAAGGTACCTACGTAGGCACTGAGCGTTGTGAAATTTCAGTGTCCCTGGTCGAACGATTATCTGGAGACACGTTCAAATGTTAAAGGTTCTGATTCTTAGCGTTATGCCAGCTTTGACATTAAGCATCATTATATAAGATAATTCCGAAGTAATAATATTGTCCAAGGAACTCAAAAGTGACCTCTAAATTTCGATCTGGTAATTCGTTCGCAGATTATTACACAGTATGTTTTCAAAGTTGAGTCATGTATTTCAACTGCCTGTAGGACTCACCAAAAGGAGTTGATACACCAAAAATCACCTATATAAAATTTGAATAGTAAAAGATTAAAAATTTTGAAAAATAAGAATGAACAGATTTTTTGATATTCTCGATCACTGCCGTGTAAAATCTTAGCGTTTTTTGTTTACTACTCTTATCATTTGGCAAACTTTTTGTTAGGGAATACAACCACATTTTAATATGAGTCCGATTTATGAAGGTTATAGGAGTTTGGATATAACTTACTAATGACACACTTCTCCATACGCCACAGTACATGCACTTTGTTGTTTGATTAACTTAAGACCCAAGCTTAAAAGTATTTCATAACCAAAGGTGTTGGCCTTTAAAGGTATTGAGTGGAAGAAAATAGCACGACCTAACAATTCCTCCGGGATTCGTTTCCCGAACTACTACGATTGGGATAAGACCTAATGGTTACATTTGGTGCACCATAGCGATAACAGTGAGCTTTCCTCGCGCTTCGACAATTGCTGTTTATATGTCCTACTTTTTGACAATTCCAACAAGTACCCTTAGGTACTAGATGAATCGTTTTGGGAGACCTCAGATGTCTCACTGACATCAGCAACTTTATTTGCGATGGAGGTACATAATTCTCAACTCTTTTTTTTCTGAACCTCAAGCTTAAGACATTCGACCTCAAGTTCTTCCAAGGTACGAACAATTGGGAGCTGGGTAGTAGAAAATGTTAGATCGCATAACGCCTAAATAATGTCAGCATATAGGACAAATAATCAATAATACTCTCCGTTGTATCTTGTGTTCTGTCTAAGATATCTTTGAAAAGTCTAGCACGATAATTAGGAGGTTCAAAATGACGCTTTAACAAATCAGGAAATCAGTTAAACTTTCCCACTCTATTTCGGTTTGCCCTAAACCAGTTTTACGTTTTCCCAGTGAAAAGATCTATAGCAGAGCCAAACAACTGTTTTTCAGTTACGTTCCAGCTATTCCCAACTTTAATAGAGAGCGTAAAGTACTTCTCAATTTGTCAACTATGTGACAAACAAACTAGTCTTACACCAACAAGAGAAAAAAAGGTAATGCAATAATCAATAATACCAATATCAACTAATGCAGTAAAGTATGTCAAAATTTTTCAAAAGTCTGTTCAAAGGACTCAACAAATTTTCAAAAGTCTGTTCAAGAGATTCAACAAATTATTTGGCTCTGTATGTCTAAAACTATAGGCCCTAACCGTTGGGCGCCACGAAATTTGGCACGCTTTTTTATAATCAATAGGAAATGGTGGTGTGATTCCTCTTTCCTTTTTTTTTAATTACTCGATTAATAAATTAATAAGATACGATAAATCAAATCTAAGGGTCAGCCAAGGCAAAATAGCTGTCTACTGGCCTGCAAATTTAGGTCTGGGTTAATAGAGCGGTGGTTAGGGAAGGGGAGGTTGAGAGTGATCAGAATAGTAAAAAGTATATCGCCCTGTAGACAGGGAAAAGACAAGTTGTCAGATTTTTGCTCCTTAAGTACACACGCAATCGTATTGCACTGCACCTCCAAAGTGTCTCAAATGTGCTCAAGACCACATGACACATCTGTGCCCTCAAACAGGACAAGAGGCGCGCAAATGTGCGAACTGTGAACGGGACCATCCGCCCAACAATTCTACTTGTAGATTCACTCCTAGGGGAGTAAAATCACATGCAGACGCAGCAAAGGTTGAAATTCTAGTTGCCCCTGCAGAACCGAGCTCACCTTCGACTGCTAAAAACGTGGACCTGGCAACAGCGCTAAGGTCCTTGCAGCAGATAATTAGTCCCCTGATAAGCGCTACACAGGCCTTGCAGGCGATCGTTCCGATAAATGGCTAGGTACAATAGTAGACAGCCTGAATTCATCAAAATTCTTTTCTGGAATTTTTTGGGTATTAGGGATATTCCCAAAACGGGAATGTCATCAAGTACTTTTGGATGAGAGTATAGATGTGACTCTGGAAACATTGCTTAATCCGGGAGATCGTCTAGCTTTCCCGAATTATGTTATCCGAGCTGATAGATTAACTGGGCGGGGTGGCGGCTTGGCAGTTCTAGTGCAGAGCATTGAGGCGGCTTCCGTGGAGGTCAGTATGACGGGAGGTGTCCCGTTGAAGATCACATCGGTGTATTTCAGGTGTGCTGCCAGGCTGCAGGAGGCGGACCTGGAAGTCCTATTGTAGCAGGGTACTTCAACTGCAAATACAGAGCATGACATTCTAGGTTGAATTCCACCAGTGGGATTCGACTGTACAACCATGTGATACGAAACGGCTACCTCATACACAGTACTGAAGAGCCCACGCACCACCCATTTAATCACCTTCAGGCACCAGATGTCATCGACTTTGCAATATCTAGAAACTGTAGATACAGTATCACTTCTTGAATCATGTATGACATTTCTAGCGATCATCTTCCTGTCGTACCGGAAGTGGGTAATGACCAAACCTTGGAAGAGGGAACTTCTCCAAGGAATCGGGTTGATTGGGAACTATTCAAGTTGTTTATTAGAGAGTTCCCCAATATCCCGATCACAGATGATCAGAACGGTATAGATGCGACTCAAGCGGAGCGGACAAAAGCTTAGTTCAGCAAGCTCTGCAGCGTGCAGCTGTACTTTCTGTACAACAACATGGCGGACCTTTTCTCTCTGCAGACATTCGTCAGAAAATGTCTGACAAAGGGGCTGCAATTAAGCAAACGAAAAGGTCTTGTCATCCCGATGGCATTCGCAGAGCGACGAATCTTGTTCATGAAGTAAGAAATGCTCTCTATGAATTCCGCAATGAGCAATGGAACGACTTTCTGGAGGAGATGCTTGACTCAGGTACTCCTCTCTGGAAAGTGGCGAAGTCGCTCAGAAACGGAAAGTGAGAACAACTCCCGTACATCCACGGTCCTGAAGGCATTGTCTTCAGAACAGAGGATAAGGTCGAGGTTTTCGCTGACACCATGCAACTTTGATCTTGATAATGATCTCGACGAGCAGCAACACATTGTAAGATCCGTCAGGAGATAGTTTAGGGTCAACGGCGTCAGTGATCCCGGTGCCGCCATTAGTGATTCTTCCTCAGAAGATTCTTTTGCGGAAGATTCTTCAGCTGAAGAGTTGCACAGCACATCAGCGGCTTCTCGCGAGATACCGCAATGCACACCAGTAGAGTTTTAAGGTCATATATTAAAGACCTCAAGGTGTGTAAAGCGCCTGGAGAGGTTCAAATCACCAATTAGGCGCGGAAGTTGCTTTCACGGAAGTCCTTGACTTATCTCGTCGCTGCGGAAGTTATAATGATTCCAAAGAAGGTGGGTTCAATGTTTCCCCAGGACTATCATCCCATCAGCTCGCTGAAAAGGTGATTCTGCGTCACCTTGCGAATTTCTCGTAAGATCACCATGTGATCCCTGACGTGCAATTTGGATTTCGGTCTGAGCATAGTACGGAGTTACAGGCGGTAAGGCTTGTGGAGCGAGTAACCCTTAACGAAAGTACTGGCATCTTGCTTCTGGATGTCTCGAAGGCATTTGACAAGGTGTGGCAGAAGGGCCTTCTCTATAAACTAATTCAAAAGGGCTTTCCATTTTGGCTCCTAAAACTTTTGAAATCCTTCCTTGAAGGTATCAAATTTCGGATCAAAATTAATAATTTCTTGCCGACAGTATGGCCCATAAGGGTTCGGTTCTAGGGTCAATCCTTTATTCACTTTTCACGCATGAAGCCCCTAGCGACTGCGAAGTCTATCTATATGCTGATGACACTGCACTATTGGCCCAGTCGCGTACCGGGAATCTGGTTCACGACAGGTTTCAAAGTATGATGGATGAGGTATTGGAATGGACAGATCGGTGGCTAATTAAAATTAATTACTCGAAAACGCAGGCTATCGATTGTACTAAAAAAACGTATCGGCGCCCCTTCTGAGGTTACAGTGAATGGAGTTCGCATACCATGGGGAAATTCTGCTAAGTATCTCAGTGTCACTCTTGACAGGGGATGACCTGGCAGAATCACACTGAAGCGTTAAAAACTAAATTCCAAATTACGTTTCGGCAACTCTACTCTTTGCTACGTAGAATCTCAAAATTTAAGTTGGGTTAACAAAGTTCGGCTATACAAGATGGTTATTAGACCAGCAATCACTTACGCATGTGCAGCATGGTGTTTTCTTGCCAAAACGCATATGCGTAATCTGCAGGCTTTGCAGAACAGAACCTTGCGAACCATCACTAACGCACCGTGGTATATGTCTCCAACGAGACCTCGACATCCCTTACCAAAGGGACTACATCAAACATTAAGCGCAGCTGCGTTGTAGTCAAGCGGAATCGCACAGCAACCCTCTGTTACGTGAGTCAGTAGACTACACAGTCGGGAAAGTTCGCAAGCACACAAGACCGCGGCTCGCACTGTGATCCAAATCAAATTGTGCAATTCTAGGTCAAACCAAAATTACGATTTTTGCCACACACAAATTACTAAAGTAATTTTAGGATTAATTTAAAATAACCGAATACCAGTTAACAATAGTAAGGCATCCCTTTAACCGACGCACTTCACGCTCTTTGCCCTTCCCCTTATTCCTTCCTTTCTTTCTCCCTGACTTCGTCTGGTATCTGGGCAACCAGACCTGACAACCTGCTGACCTAAGATACTTTAACAAAGAGCGAAGGTCCCACAGACTGCTCTGACAGACAATTACGAATAGAGTAAAAAAGATTAAGTGATTTTGGCACGTTACAATAATATTGTCAATCGCAATTGTCAGATATAGAGATAGGTTTTTGAATTCGATATTCAGGTTCATGTTTGGGAATTTAGCAGTGAGCAATCATAGAAAATCTTGTAATACTAGTTTCCTTTTACTTAATTCTCGTTTCCTCTTGTCATGTCTGAGAATATTGCTCTTCAGAAATTGCGAATTATGTAGTCGGAACTTCAAACTTCGTTTTTTAAAAACTTTATTTGGTTCCAACAATAGTTTACATGACCGAACCGGAATTACAGTGTGTGTGTTCGCAGTGACTGAGATTGAATGACTGACTCATAATTAAGATACAATCGTTAATATAAACCAAAAGTGATGAGCTAGTAAAAAGGAATACAATGCAATTATTATATCAATTAATAAAGTGCTAAATGACAGCAACATAACTTGCGTATGTTATAAACGAACGTTTAATCTTTGAACTTTTGAGGTAGGATTAGGGTCCAATTTAGAGTTTCGTCCACATAGTCGGACACCAAAACTGCATATAAATCAGCATTGGAAGCAGCGTGGAAAGTAAAAAAGACTGTCTAAATAAAATATATCATTTATTATTCGATCACCATTTAAAATAAATACACTTAAATGTGCAACCAATAGCACTAAAAAAAGTCGGACGCCCGATGCCTTTTTGGCAAACTGATATTCAACAAATCATCCGTGGAAACCTCCGTGGTGGGTTGTGCCTTTTTACTCTTAACCAAAGGCGTTGACACCCTTTTTGGGGTTTTTGGTGTCAATTGCCGCGATTGAGGACTCGGAGAATATGTGGACATGAGATCGGAATTCACGCCAAGTTTCAATCTTGCCGTAGCTAGTCTTCTTGCTGCTGGAGACATTGTTGATAGTCTATCTACTGCTGAAGTGTTTGGTCTGGGTGATTGCCTGAAAAAAAAAATAGCGTCAAGTAGGTTGACTCTGGACTTCCAACAAGACATTAACTCTGTTATGCATCATGTATAGCAACTAAGTCAATTATTGCACGCTATGGTACCTTTATTTTCTACCGGCTATGAAAATCATTATATAGGCTGAGACGACATAGCTTCTTTTTTAAGATGCGCGCCATTCAGTCGGTTAATGTAGCGGAGCTATAAAGTTTTGTACCGACACAGTTGAGTCGCCTTTATGCGTTGTAACAGTGAGGAGCGTGTTTTTGCCGTTGAATGGATGTTCTGTGATCGCAACCCAGTCCGCTTTTCGGAATCGCATAAAAAAATATGCTGTGGTTCATACTACAGGTTTTATTGAGTTTTTAAAAAAGCAGTTACGGTGCCACACCCTGTACTATGGCGTAAAGCCATAGAGCAGAATAAATATTAGTCAAAAAAGCATGGTTTGTTTGGAAAGTATTGAAATTATGGACTTTGATACACGTGGCTCTGAATCAACTGCCTTATGTTTTGGAAGGTTCAAAACTATGGAAACCCTTGCAGCTCGTTATGTAATCTAATGAATATGATTCCTGCTGATTGGCATAATAATCTGTTGTGCAAAAATTTGAGCGAAATCCGACTCTCAAATTATAGGCGGCTATGAAATTTGAGTTGGAAGTGTATAAAAACACGAACATTAAAAAATTCCGATACACCATCCCCCACCTCCCAATTTTTTACCCCTAGTATTTTTTTCAAAAATGATCAGGATCCTCGGAGACGTCAAAAACGGTGCTTGGGCAACTTTTGTCTTCTTCTTTTTTGGCCTTTTCCTCCACCGCCACTGGACCGATTTTCAAAAACGCTTTTTTGTTATTGGCATAGTAGAAACATTGTGTAAAAATTTCATCCAAATCGGAAATGAATGGCATGGTTTTTCATTTAATAAACATCCAAAAAACAATTTCACATTTTCGAAATTTATCGCGATTAGAATACTTCCTCGGTAGTAGGCGTGAACAGTAAAAAGTGGGTCATGTAAGTATACCTGTGGTATGCAGATCATTAAGATACAATGAATTGATGAGAATTTGCCAATAATACTTTCTAACTAGCAAAAATTTGTTGAACCAAAGAAGGTTACTCCACTTTTAGGATATCCAACTCATAAACGATTATTTGGCCTGAATAGGAATAAAAAGGAGGAATATGATTTTATAAAAGAAACATTGAGAGTGAAACTTACAACTGTCTTCTTTGTGCATCTAAATTCCTCTTCTTTTGATCTCTATTCTTCTCCCCTACTTTTTCTGCTAGTGCCAATGCAATTTGTTCTCTCCTGGGTGGTTCCGATATTTTGAATGATGGCCCTTGAGACCTTGGCAAAGGAGTATCTCCGCCATCTAACCTAAATGGTGTGCCTTCAATTTCACCCCATGTCATCAAAGGACTGCTTATCAAACTTGGGGATGGTGAGGGCTCCCTCACAAAGCTGAAACCATTTACTTTTGGAGTGTCTGGTTTCAGGAGCTCTTTACCATCAACACCTATTTTTCCATCCAAAACCTGAAACATAAACCATAGAGTAAATAAAGCTTTATCTTAGATATTCGTACAGGGTGTTCACAATAATAATTCTTATGGGAAATTTCATGTACTGTTGAGAGATTAATCTCCAGAAAGTTTCACATTTGAGGAACATGGTGAAGGTCAAATATATATATATATATATATATATATATATATATATATATATATATATATATATATATATATATATATATATATATAATAAACTTACTTTGGCTTGAGTCTTTGCAAGTTCATTAATGGTCTCCTTACTTTGTACCTCATTAAATGGATTCACAGTTAATCTGGTATTCGTATGAACAACTTCTTGCCTATTTTTGTTCACTTCTGCTTGTTCTTCCTTGGTCAGTTGTACCCCATCTGGTGTAAACATGATATAATTCTTATTTTTGTAACCCCACATATCTAGCTGCGGTTTTTTCTCACAACATTTTGCTTGTTGTTCTATTGACGGTAGAGTTAACATTTTTTCTTGCTCACTCACAGTTTTTTCTTCTTCTCCATATAGAAAAGAATATTTTTCTTTGTGCCTCATTTCGGCTTCTATCAAGAGTTCCTCAAAACTTTCATTATCTTGTGAAGTGTGGGAATTTAGGTACTGATCTAAGCTTACATGTTTCTCTTTTGGCTTTTCATCATCCTTATCTTGAATTTCTTCAAAAACTTGATCTTCATTTTGGGAGTGGATGTTTGCAGGTGTTTCAAAAGTTGCAGGACTTGGTACTGAAAATGTAACATAGTAAATTTAAATTTAGGTCAGAAAAAGACGTTTGATTAAAGTTTTAGTTGGTAATGGTAAAATCATGAGAAAAAATGCATATGAAATACTTACATCGTTGAATTGGAGGTTTTTTTCCACTATATTTCTCATAAAGTTCCTTAAGTTTACTTGTATCATTACGTTCCATAGCATCTAGATACTCATTTTGAGCTTTTAGTTTCTCCAAGTCGGGAAAGAAGTCTCTTTGAATAATCTTGCCAATTTCCTGCAACAAGACATTGATTGTAACCAGTTGAACTATTTGTGCTTTCTTCTGATACCTGTTTGAAATTTCGGGTCTAGTAACATTCTAAACTGACCAATAGTTAAGTCTTTAATATACTGGAGTAGAATTAAAGCTTACCTCAACGTAAGTTTCTTCATCCAATACCTTTTTCCTCACTTTCTTTATTGGGGCTCCTAAAGGTATTTTGAAAACAAGATCTTTGTGGTACATTTGCATTACTTCTACTGCTTTCTGGCCTGGTGAGGCATCCATCGCTGTAATTTGTACGATGCTGATAGAGTGATACAAATTTCAGGTGCTAAATCTGTTGATTGATTAAAAAATAAAACAGAACCTAGAAGGTAGAAGGATTGAAGGTTAGGATTTTTTTAACACTGACATTTAAATGACGTTTGCGATACCTAGTGCTGACATCTTGTGATGTATAAATGTGATGGGAAGGTTAAAGAAATATTTGTGCAGTATTCTTCTTTAAACCAAGGACTATGAAATTGTTTCGCTAATAGATAGCGGCATCTGTAACAGATTCACAAAATATTTAATATTTACACCGCGATTTGGATGACATCGGAAATTGAAGACCGACAGGAGTGTTGTAATTTTTAGCATACTTCTACAAGTTTTAGGTCTACTAATAAATAGAAAATGATTGAAATCTCGAAATTTCGCAAAATTGGACTCATCGCTGAACACGACTGAGTTCCATTCCATACTCCATTCAAGTCTCTCCTTATCTTACTCCATGCCAATGTTGACGTGCGAACGTTAAGTAGGATAATGCAATGAAACAACAATGAAACAAATGGGACCAATACAGAAGAATCACTGAATATTAAGTAAACATATTGTTCCTTTACAAAATAAGTACGGCTCGGAATGCCTTCAACATTTTATTAGCGTATACACTTCCATGATGGTTGTCAACCTTTTTTTTTCTATTTATCACTTATCAGTAATTTGAATTTCTCTTCATTGATAGTAGAGTGCCCATTCCTAGGCCAAACCCCCTTTCAATGATTTTCTTTTTGCAAATTTAATAGTTTATTGATTGTGTAATTTCACTCGTATTATATCTATATCTTTCTTTCTCAGCGATTCAGTATGGTGTTGACGATCAGCAAAAAACTCTGCAGTTTTTCTCCGTTAGTTGGCTTCCTATAAAACATATCTTTTTCAAGGCCACTCAAGATTCCTTCCTCTAGAACGTTACGTATTCGGTGATTCGCTTTTCAGTTTCCGTTCAGGTCGTGGTCCAGGGGTCTCTTTGTCGTTTTCCAGACTCTGGGATATAAGGCCCCAAGCACCCATTCATACACTAGCACCCTTTTCTTTTGTTGTGTGACTTGAGTTTACTTATTTGGGTGCTACGTCTTCCATTTTTTATGGGATTTTGACCCTCAGCGAAACAGAAGAAAATCCTCGTCTTTTTTCCCTGTCAGTTACATCGTTGCAGTTTTGCAAATTGCAAGCCATCCCCTTGAAAAAACCCTGATGTGAACACGGTTTTTTTCTTTTTTTCCTGCTATCCTCATAATTTTTGGGACCGAGGCAAGCAGCCCCTGCCCAGTAACGTGCCCACTACTGGCTGCCTTTTTTTCGTTCTTTTTGACCTGGGATACATCTCGGCTGCGCCTAGCCGTAACTGGGAGAAGACTTCCCCCTAGATAAGTGTAGTTTAGGCGTAAAACATATATGTAAAGCGTATACCATGGTAAACGCGTACTAATTTTATTTTGCGACAGTTTTTTTTAACATCCTTTCTCGCACGTGCGTTTTGTTCTTTTTAATCAATATATTGTGATCCATTTAATATCTTGTTTATTTAGGTCTCTCTTTGTGCACTGTTACCTAAATTTCGTCATCTCTGTTAGATTCTCCTTTTGTCTGGTAATCAAGCAAAACAAGTTCCGACTAACATCTCGGGGGTTGTGGCTTAATCCGTCCTAAGTCACTGACGCACTTAAGGTCGCACGTCCCTTTTTTTCAACTGTGCGCTTGGAGCAGTATTATGAGCACTTATTGTCTGATTATTTCAGGGTGTATATAAAAATGACTGATTTATGATAATCTCATGTTTTTTTGTCAAAATGACAACTTTTTCTTGCCAATTTTTTACAGTCCCAGCTTCGAAACAAATAATCGTAAAGACATGAAATTAAGTGATTGCATTATGAATCAATAAAGGAACGTCCTTTATCGCTCATTTTCCACATATAATTTATTTTTCGCATAAAAATTTTATTTTTCTTTTGAAGGAAAACGATTTTTTGAAAGTATGTGGATAAAAGACATAAAGAACTGAAAGAACAAGCCATCAAAGAAAAAATCAACTCATTTGCTCAAACGGTTTTTGAGTTGTAGATGTAATTTGACAAATATTTTGGCAAAAGCACGCGTCCCGCTGACCACTCCCTCGGCGGAAGATTATTGGCCCTATTTAAGACAGGTGCGTCGTTCGCCATGCTGACTAGTTACCGTGTTGCCACGCGTGTGATTTATTCTTTGAGTACATAAGTGTTGTAGCTGTGATTATTTTCATTGTTTTAAGGGTATTTGGTGCTAATTGGTGTTTTGTTCTAACGTTATTCTCGCAGTTAGTTTTTGTTAAAATGCCAAAATTGATGAATATGAAAATACATGAAACATAAATTCTGAAAAATTTGAAAATCTTGTAGATTTCGAATATTTAGAAAATTTTCAAGATTTTGAAGGTTTTAAAATTTTTCAATATTTTGAAAATCATAATAATTTAGAACATTTTATAAATCGAAAAAATTTTAAAAATTTCTAGAATTTTGATGATTTTGAAGCTTGATAAATTTTGAAAATTTCTAAACTTTCGAAAATCATGAAAATTTTTTAAATTTTGAGGTTTTAAATTTGTAAAATTTTGAGAATCTTACAAATTTTTTAAATTTTGAAGATTCTAAAAATTTTTAAAATTCTGAAATTTTGAAATTCTTTGAAAATATATATTATATACATATGTATGTCTTAGTTCTCGAGATAAATTTATCAAAACGGTGACAAGAAATCAAAAAGCTGATAAGAAATATTCACCCCCCTCCCTTCCCCATCTAGAGGATATCAATTATGGAAGCCTTTGTTAATGCCAGTTTATTTTATAGATAAAATTAAAAACAAAAGATACCCCCTACTTCTGGGCTATTTGAAATAGCTTAGGTTCCTCGGTACAAAGGGCGTTACCTCGCTTCAACCCTTGCTTGGGGGTGGAATTTCCAAAATTGCTTTGTGAGTGCTCATTTAATTTATATGTATGAACCAAATATATAATAAAAACCAATATTTATATCACGAACTAAAATAATAATAGTTTCTTGATGCAGATGGTCACATTTACCCCCATTTCAACCCCTTCGTCTCCAAGGTCTAATCTATATCTGTTCCAAAATGCATCGGAATTGGTTCAGCCGTTTTGGCGTGAAAACGGAACATACAAACACACAAACATACACACATTTATAATATTAGTAGGGATGCTCATATCTGTATCTAGCAGGTATATATACTTAAGTGGGATTTTGAAGTTTATTTGTCTATATGTATGCATTTGGATTGTTGGGTCCACTGAAACTGTATATATGTGAATAAACTTATACTACATATGATGTCTATTTTTCAAAGTAGCTTATTAAATTCATGGGTGCAATAATTTTGGAACATTTTTTAAATGGACTGAAAGGTCAGGTGCTACCTCATTCTTACTAGTGCTTTATTCTAGAATATAACAGTTCCAAGACTGGCGAACTGACAGGCTGTCAAAGTTGATGGGTAGTTGTATGAAAGGGTGACAATTTACCAAAATCCCATATAGCCTGGCGCCGGCAGGATGACTATGCCGGTGCGCCGTTCTGGCAACGTGGTGCAGTGATGCCACCGGCCAGTAAAGGAATTATGGTACGATGTTGCCAGAATTATCAATTTTTCTTCAAAATTATGTTACAAATAGTGTTCCTTTAAGACAAAAAATACACATAATTAATATAGGTTCTTTAATGTAAAAATCTCATCAAAAAAATGGAACATTTGGGAAAATTAAACAAACTCTCGAAAAATACTACAAGATATACCTAACTTGAAAAGATAAAAAAACATTATTCAGGTTCAAAATGAATATCAACAGTTTCATTTTCATCTTGAGCGACATGTTTATAGGACGTTATTCTATTAATCATATTTTGAGTAACATTAAACTTATAACATTCACGATTTACACTTTGAAATGCCAATAAAAGTGAATTTACTATATCACTGTACAAGCGATTTCGGACATGTTTTGATTAAATTTACTTTTGAAAACATTCTTTCGCATGCGGCATTTGAATGAGGAATTACTAATACAAAATTTCCCAATTCTTTAAATACGTAAACATCAGACATGTCGTGAATTTGGGAGATTTTGTACCAGTATTTATCGATTGATGTTTCATCCTTTATTTCATCACTGAAATTTGGTTCTGACTGGCAATACATCCGCCACTGATCATCAATTTTTTGTATTTGTTCAATATCTTGAGGATCTACAATTCTGGGTAGTAACTTAATTAATGGAAAAAGCGATGCTGGTTTTGGTTTAGAATACCCTTTTTCAAATACTGATACTTTTGACAAAATATTTTCATTAAAATCAAACCGTTTTTTCATTTCATCTGCAGAAGTTATTAAAAATTGACGGCACCGCATGTAGAAATCTTCTTTTTCCTTTTGACTTAATTTATCAATGTTCTGAAGTACGCGAACACCAAGGTATATCTGTTTCAAGTCAATAAACTGACTAGCATTGTTGGGATCGATTTTACCTATTTCGGTTTTATGAATATAATTTGGTTGTAAATAGCTTAAACAAATTTCTTTATAAGTTTCACAAACTACATCATAAACGTGTGCAATTATGACACGCTCACTTTGAAAGTATTCATTTAATTTTACAAATTTTGGTAAAATCCAATGAAAAAAAAGATAAAAAGTTTTGTTTCCATATCATTAAGTCTATTGGCAACAACTTCTGAAGCTTGCAGTCTATGTTCGGTCCATTCTTTAACAAAATATAATTGAAGGGGATTCCATTGCTCAATTATCCTTTCCACTATCATAAGTAATGAAAGCCACCTAGTTTGTGAAGGACGTAAAATTTTATGAGGCTCCACATTACAAAATGTGTGAAATTCTGTAAATTGTGCTTGCCGTTTGGAGCTATTTTTAAAGTAACCAAAAATATTCCTGGCTAAATCTTCACAATGACGGGGCAAAACTTTACAAGCCTCACTGGCACAAAGATGTAAAGAGTGGCAGATGCATTTTTGAACTATAATGCCAGGAAGATTTAGTTTTAACCTACTTACTACTGAGTTATTGGCA